CGCGGTGACGCCTGCCCGGACAGTCCCAGACTCACCTATTCCGTCAGTCACGGCTGCAGGCATCAGATCAGTCTTCCTGGGAGTCAACCCAAGGAAAGAGATGGGCCTGCACAGTGTTTCCGGCTAAGCACTCAGATTTTGTGTGGATCAACGGCAGAGGTATTCACCGACATCTTCAACCTTTCCCTCCTACGAGTTGAAGTCCCCACCTGCTTCAAGAAGACAACCATCATCCCTGTACTTAAGAAAGCATGTGCAATGCAATGCCTCTTCTTCCTCAGATGGCTCAAAAAATTTGGCATGTCCGTAAGGACCCTCGCCAACTTCTACAGATGCACCATTGAAAGCATACTGTCTGGGTGCATAATGGCCTGGTACGGCAATTGCTCTGCCCAGGACCATAAGAAACTTCAGAATGTGGTGTGCACAGTCCAGACCATCACGGAAACCAACCTTCCATCCATGGGCTGTATTTACACGGCTCGCTGCTACGGAAAGGCTGCCAACATCATCAAAGACCCATTGCACCCTGGTAATGATCTCCTACAACCTCCTCCGTCAGGCAGAAGAAACAAAAGCCTGAACACGCATCAGCAGGTTCAGGAACAGCTTCTTTCCGGCCATTATTAGACTGATGAATGGACACTCTAGCATCAAATAATACTGATCTTGCTAACAATGATCTCACCTAGTGCACTATCTGTGCAATGAAACCTGTATGCCTATCTAAGTCTTTTTGATCTATATATCGTCACTTGTGCTGTTTGTAAATAAAGTTTTTCACTGTATTTCAGTACACGTGACAATCAATCAATCAGTCAGTAAGAAAGTTTAAAACTTGAATGGACTATTCCAGAGATGGCGCAATGCACCTGCATTTTCCACTTGGCCTCCCAGACAGTGTTTCAACTGTTAATTGTAAGGATAAGGATAAGTGCCTGCTGCTGAATTCGAAGTGAAGCTATGAGCAGCGTGATCTTGTCCTCTTTAAGTAGCCTTAGCAGAGGTTTGTGATCTTTACTATTCCAAATTTACAACTGTAAAGGCATTGGTGGAACTTGCTAATGCCAATGATCACGGCCAAACCTTCCTAAATAAAAACCAAAAGAACTGCGGATGCTGTAAATCAGAAACAAATACATAAGTTGTTGGAAAGCTCAGCAGGTCTGGCAGCGTCTATGAAGAGAAATCAGAGTTAACGTTTCGGGTCTGGTGACCCGTCCACAGAACAGTTCTGAGGAATGGTCACTGGACCCGAAACGTTAACTCTGATTTCTCTTCACAGATGCTGCCAGACCTGCTGAGCTTTTCCAGTTTTTGTGCCAAGCCTTCCTTCTTTTTTAGCCTGTCTTTGTTCGGCATCAGCCAAAGTCAGGGAAGCGTTCCCACTTCTGAAGAAGGGTCCTGACCCGAAACAACAACTTTCCTGCTCCTCTGATGCTGCCTGGCCAGCTGTGCTCCTCCAGCTCCATACTGTGTTATCTCTGACTCCAGCATCTTACTATCTCTGGTTTGATGATTCCTTTGCTTTCCAGCCTCTGATTTCTGCCTCTACTTTTGCCCATAAGGCAAATGGCACTGGGCGGGCTTTGCAGAATCATGGAATTGCTTCCTGCTCAACATGTAAGTTGGCCTTGGCACCGTTGATGGTCCCTAGATCTCCTTGAAAAGCTTCCAGGTATTTAATTAGGACTTCACTCAGGCAGCCATTAATCAACAAATGTTGAGCCAATCAAATTGAATCTTTCTCAAACAATTTCGCCCCATCAAACTTGGGCCTGAGCCTTTTATTACAATCAGTGGTGACTGAACCAGCTGCTTCTCATAAGAGACCGGAACCAAAAGTGTACCCTTAATCTGTAAAAGTTTCCCAGTATAGGCTCTCAACCTGGCTAGCTCTTATGCAAACTTAAGAGTGAATAAAGACTGGTTCCTCAATCACTGATACAGCTGTGCTGGTATTGACCTCCATTAGAATTTGGTGACTGTTTAGCCATACGTTTATTTTGATTGGTTCTGATTTGAATATTGCAAAGCAATTTCACTGTTGCAAACCAGATGTAGGTGGACTTTCCAGGGGTCCACTCTCCTGGATACCGGCCTGTGAGTTCTTTTACTCAGTTCGGGTCTGGTGGGACTGTTTTGCTGTCTTGAGTCCGCACACCGACAGCAACTGCAACCGGCCCAGATCCTGGATAGAATTTTAACTGTTTGGCTGAGGCTTGTCTTTGTTTTGCTGTGGGCTGACCTTGAGTCCCTCTATTCAGGATATGTCCTGAGTGTGGCTATGTAATTGCCTGCACTCAAGTGGTATTGCCCAAGCTCAGTCAGACTGGCAAAAGTCCACTTCCATCACCATACCTTGGAACTTATATATTCCACTTGCAGCATTTTCCAATGGGAAAGCCAGTTTTAGTGCCTGTTTGAAGTCCAGTTGGCTTCTGCTAGTAGGCACTTTTGCATGGTCATATCATTAATCCAATGTACAAACAGTCTGTCAGTACCTCACTGAGTGTTAAACCAAAATCACAAGTCTCTGCCAGTCATCTTAACGTTGCCAAAAATCCAAATACAAATTCCGCCGGTTCTTGAACTGTCGAGTGAAACCGATAACGTCTCAGAATTAGGAGAGGCTTGGGGTCGTAATATTCCTTAGCTAAATCTGTCAACTCTTGAAAAGTTTTATTATCTGGTGCTTCTGGGAAAGTTAGACTCTGAATAACTGAAAAGGCTGTGGGTCCACACACTGTCAGGAGAATTAATCACTACTTTTCATCTGCCCCAACGTCATTTACCTGGAAAGCTGGAACCTGTCGGCCAAAGTCATAATTGATGAAGAGATCCAGCACTACCTCCAGTGTACTAGTGCTGAGGAGAAGGTTGTTTGAGGATAACAACATCAGATCCAACACAAAGTTTATGGTGTACAGAGTTGTCGTGGTTCCTGACCTCCTCTATGGCTCTGAGATGTGGACTTCTACAGCAGACACCTCAAGGCCTTGCAGCAGTTGCACCAACACTTCTGCGTAAGATACTGCAAATCCACTGGGAAGACAGGTGCACCAACATCAGCATCCTCAACCAGAGCAACATCCCCAGTATCGAGGCACTGACCATCCTTGATCAGTTATGATGGGCTGGGCACGTCATCTGCAAGACCAACACGAGGCTCCCTGAGCTTCAAAATGGCAAAGGAGCCCCAGGTACACAGAGGAAACCCTTCAGGGATATTCTCAAGGCCTCACTGGCAAAGTGCAGCATTCCCACTGACACCTGGGAATCAGTGACCCAAGTAGATCCAAAGCTGGTATCCGTCACCAAGTCAACCTTTATTTACATGTAACTGACCCAGCTAGCACAGAGCTGGCTCCTAGAGTGAGCAGAACCCCTGACACCTGTTAACAGCTCCAGTCAGGGAACTCATATTCAATGAGATTCACCTGGCTGACATTGTTCCATTTACAACAAAAAGTAATCATAAAAGCAGTGCATGTTAGGAGAGTATGTTGGGAAATAAAAAAAACAGAAATCACAAAGATAAAAGGGGTAATTGAACACAGTAAAAGAACACAGTTGGAAGAGACTGTTAGAAGCTAAAAGAGAGTAGCTTCACCCTGAAAACAGCAGTAAGAGGTGGAATATCAGGAACTGTTTGTAAACAATTGGAATTCAGAAACAGGTTTAGGAGGAATTTCAAGAAAAGAAACAATGGTAATTACTGAAGCCAAAAGAGAAGCTGAAATCGTAGAAGTATTTTGTTGCCAATCCAAAATCCCTGAGAATTCCAGCTTGCATGTACGTTTTTAAAAATGATTGCTTAGTCTCGTAGAATCTGTTTCTAAGCAGTGCTTCCTTCTTTTATTGCTGCAGCAGCAGAAATAGATTGAACAATATATGGCAGTACTATTATTGCAGCAAACTTTGACCTTTGATCCAGGATATGAGGCTTTATGCAACATGCTGTGAAGTATGAGACATAGCTTTCTTATGCAATGTACTAAGTGTAAAGAGAATTTGTAGTTTTAAAAAAAACTGTCGTATTTTTGATGCCAAAAATTAACAGGCAAAAGCCTGTAAGAACAATTCAGAACAATGCCTCATTTCTATATGGCAATGTTTGCACCGTTCCCCCAAATGCATCTAGAATTATGGGGTTTACACGTGACCCATAAGGAAATGGGTCTTAGTTCAGCTGTGTGCAGCTGGTATTGAGCCGGCACTTCCGTTTGCTACTCCAGTCCACAGTTTACTGCTGATTTCATGCTGATGACTTGCACAGATACCACATAGGGGTAGTATTGTTTAGGAAGCTTAAATTAGGAAGATACTTGACAAGTAACTAACATAACTAGCCCATCCTCCACTCTCTTTCTCCAGGTTTTTGCTGATTGGTTGTCCCGGAGAAGTCTGAGTAGGCAGTGGACATGCTTGTCACGTTTTAAGTCTCGACTGGTAGTGGGGAAGTGGGGGCAGGGAAGGTTAGAGTGAGAGAGAGCGAGCGACAGAGAGAGAGAGAGAGAGAGAGAGAGCGCTCAGCAGTTCGATAATGATGCTCGAGTCAGGATAAAAAACCTAATGTACCACGGGTGCCCGTAACATAGCTCAAGGAGAAGGAGGCAAGATGGCTGCCTGGTAGCGTCTACCTCTGATGGAGGAAGCAGAGCCTGTTTCAGAGGAGTGTTGCAAGATAGAGGGTATAGTGTAGGTATATATCTATAGAAGCTTTTGAAGGTTATTTAAAGAAAAAGAAGGCTCTAGTTACTAGCTCCGTTTGATGTTATATTTTGTTATATTATTAATGAACTGCAAATTATTCACAATATACTAATTTTCTAAATTGGTAATTGTTGTCTTTGCTTGCAAAATGTATCTTTTAGTTCAGTGACTACAAGTACAGCTCAATTTTATTGTCATTTTCAGTGTTATGGTCTCGCTTGCATTAGATTGCTCTGTCTCATTTCTTAATTGATTTTTTTGTGCTTGGTTCTTTTTCTCTGCAGGTGGGGAACAAAGACAATACAAAAGCTCAGAGAAAGAAGCAAACACTGGCTGAAAAGGTAAATTAACTGCATTTTGTGAAAAATATAGTTTTAGCATGTCGAATAATTTTAATTGAGAAAGATCAAAGCTCTGACTCCATTGGAAATGGTGTGAAGAACAACAGGGAAACATCGTCATACAGCTTTAAATTCATATCTGGTGTATTATAATTCAAATTAGAATTTGTCCTTTTAAGGTGAAGAAGAATGTGATAAAAAAATTCCCTGGTGTGGCCAACAAAAGCTTTCATTATCAGGAAACAGGGTAATGTAGATTTTGTTCTGAAAGACAAGAATTATGTACAACAGCTATGAAGTCAAAGCTAGTATTGCAGAAACAAAGGAAGCACCAAACTATGTATGCTATAAAATATCAAAGCATACACAAGTATCTATGAAAATACTGGTGAGGATTGTGTAAAAGGACACTCTGTTTACATAGCCAGGTTCTGCATATATGCACTAGGCTGAATTTGGAATTCGTTAGTTCATAATCTTTGCACAAAGTTACTCGTGTAAAGCATTTCGGGCTACTTTTAATAACGTTGCAGTACTTTTTCTGTTTCAGTAAGATCTAGTAGATGGTTTTTAATTCAGCATGGAGAGTTGTACCAAGGTTAGAAATTAACAGCTGGGCTTCCTTTGTACTTTGCTGCCATCAGTTGATGTTCTTTTAAATGTTAACACTACAAAACATGCAATAAATTCAAAATTTAACCAACAAAATATGCCAGGAATTGCATTCTGAATTGAAGTGTCATCCTCTGTGATTTTGTTTTGCTGTTTGATGTAACAGGGGAGATTAAGTAGTGTTTCAAGAGTTAACAGATGCATTTTTTTGGTAATGTAATTATCAAAAAGGATTGTCTAGAGGAGCATGCTGTTGCAGTGTGCCCGATGTCTTAAGTAATTCCTCAGTCAAGTGCTTTTGCATCGCTAATCTTGCTGTTTTCTCTGTGAGAATTTCAATCTTACAAAGCTAGCAGCAAAACAGTCTGTATTTAAACCTTTGCGATTAATTAGCTATAATGTTTTCCAGTGTGCATCATGTACTTTTCCATGTTCAAATCAACAAAGCATTTAATTTGTTCATGAATGAGCAATTCGTTGCGCATTATCCGATGAATTTGATAAAATGTTAGTTGCCCCCAAAATAATCTTGCTATAATTTCTAATGGTTGAATATGTCTTGGCCTATTTTTTAGAAAAAGCAACTGATTCACAGTATCACTAAATTAAATATGTTTATTTATTTGCACGTATAGTACTTACATTGCTCCATAAATTGACAGTAGTAGTCTTTATTTGATTATCTTTTCTAAAATAAGAAGTGCTGCACTTTTCCATTTGTTTGTCTGCAGTCAGGAGGTCGATGTGAAATGCTGAAGTTTTAATGTGGCATGATGTTTGGATGTCATTGTAGAGGTAAACAAACAATAACAATGACAACTTGCATCACACATGTTTGATGATTTGTTCTGTGTGAATGGCAAGATGTATTACTTGATACTGATTCAAAAACAGTTGAAGGTTTTGCTTCCAAATTAAATTTTTAACATGCTATTTTTCAGGAAAAAGCATATTTACAGAATTCTGAAGTAAATAAGCTATCTGTAAATGAAATACAGTTGATGGGGAGAGTGGTAGTTGCATGTGGTAAATAGTTCCGGTTTTTCGTACTAATACTGAAATTATGTTTAGCTCTGACACTCACGTGGTAAAGAGGCCCCATGGAAAGGTTAGAAAGATGGCATGCTAACTGTTTGGCAGGCAGTCTTGGCAAGTCATGCTGGCTGAACGCACATGGGCTTGAGGTTTACAAACAGTACTCCTGCACACGTCATCTGTGAGTCATCATATCAAGGCATGTAGCTCAAGGACCATACAAAACGCGCACGAATAATAAATAATATTTTGATCAAAGAAAGAATCATGCTTTTCCAAGAGTGATTTATTTTCTCAATAAGGGAAGCAGCTTCATTGTGCAGCTAGCCAATTCCATTTGAATTCCATTTTTTAAAGAAATATTTGTCAGACCTTTCTATTTCAACAGGTGTTCTTTAGGTGTTTGTTAATGAATAATCAAGTCATGTTATTCTTTTCCATTGTAAGTCTGAGGTGAGGAGCAAAGTTTAAAATAAAATTAAGCAGGTAAGTTGAAAGAATTTGTGCTCTTTAAAATTAACATAATGGTATTCCCTTCGTGTCTCTTAATTAAATGTAAAGTTGATCAAACCATAATTCTGACCAAGGCTTAAATTTTGTAACCTCCTTCCTGTGGCCCCATACTCACTGAGTTTGACAGTCAGACAGAAAATGAAAATAATTTAGCAAAGTAAGACTTTGATAACCTGCAAACTCCAGAATTTCTTACACATTCGAGAAAAATACAAAGAACATAGACACCAATTTGTTTTTGAAACTGGTTTCATTTTTCATTGTAAATCGTTATTTTATCCATTTACAGAAGATACACTTCTTCTGCATCAAATATCCGGTCATATGTTACTAATTTAAAATTAATTTCACTCATTTTCAATACAAATTTGACACAACGTGGAGTAGAACTTACCTTCTGCTGAAGAGTCACTGGATAAAAATGCTTTCAGATGATTGCATGGTTTTTCTAAGAATTTTAAAGACCCAAAATGAAAATAGTAACCACTACATTTGTAGAAGTGTATGCCTTAAGAAGGCTTTAGTGAGCAAAGCCATTTATTTTCAACAAAAATAACAGGGTATACCTTGTTAATTGTGCATTTGCTTCTATTTCAATTTCTTAGTTTCACATTTGCTTGGATTGTAAATGAAGTTATCACACATCACTCACTGTTTACATTTTCCATGGGATGGTTTACCTACACCACATGGACTGCAGCAGTTCAAGAAGATGGCTCACCACCACTTTTTCAAGGACAATTAGTGATGAATGGTCACATTGAAAAAATTAATTTAGAAATCTATCACTGTGAAGAGACAGGAATTTGGAATTACCCTGCCAGTTCCCATGATGCGTAGTGACAAAATTCGTGGATAACGTTGATTTTGAGATGATTCAATCATGTGAACTGATTATCCTCAGAATACAAAGCACTGGCAAAATAATCATCACTGTAGTATATCAGCAAAAGCTCTGTCACTTCAGCAGAGTGTCTTAGGCCCAACTATCTTCAGCTCCTTTATCAACAATATTCCCTCCATAATATGATCAAACGTGGGGATGTCAGATATGTGAATATTCAGAAGAAGGGTCATTGGACTCAAATGTTAATTTTGTTTTCTCTCAACAGATACTGACAGACCTGCACTTTTCATTTTTGTTTCAGATTTTCAGCATCCACAATATACTAGCAATTAGCACCTATGTTGTCATTCAGACTGTCCATAACTAATCTTTAATTGACTAACCTATTGGTCTTGGAAGAGCTGCAACACAGATTCACCAGAATTACGCTGGGTTTAAAAGAATTAAATAAATAGTATAGTTATATGTAGGTTTGTTCTTCCTCAAATGTCAAAGATCAAAAGATGATCTGATGGAGGTGTTTAAGATGATTAAAAGATTTGATAAGGTATTGTCTTCAGGGAACTCCAGAACAAAGGGGCATAATCTTAAAATTAGAGTTGGGGATTCACTAGTGATGTTGGGAAGCATTTCTTCCACATGTGGAAACCTGAGCTTTCTCACGCATACCCCCAACCCCCAGCCAACCACTACCAAAAACTGTGGAAGCTAAATCTGTTGAAGTTTTCAAAACCAAAATTAATGGGTCTTTCCAAGGCAAGGGTATACAGTGAAAGAGAATGAACATGAACGAATGGAGTTAAAATTTACATCAATGAAGCAACTTGAAAAGCATCAGATTGCTCATTATACTCTCACTTACATGTATCTGGAAGAAATTTCCCATTTTAAAAAACGGATTTCAAAGATCAATTAACAAGCTGGATTGCACAAATTAAAACTAAATTAGCACTTAGCATATACCACTACTTTAGCTCTCTCAGGTGCTATAACCCCACTTTGAAAGCTACCATTATCGCTCCATCCTGAAAAACAAATACTCATTTTTCCTTTTCCTTTTCCAGTCCGCAATACCTACTAAACCCATACCCATCTTACTGTGGATGCAGATTTGAATCTCTGTGACTGGATTTCTATCCCAGTCAGATTGAAACAGTTCTAACTGTAAACAAAAATGATAGCCCCTGATTACCGTGCATTATTTCACGTCATACCCATCAGCCAGTCTACAGTCTTTGACATAGTGGGTCACTGTAACCTGCAACATGACTACCCTTGGCTGAGTGCAATGCAACTGTTTTTACTTTGTTCGTTCTCACCAATCTGAGCAGAGGGAGAATATTGCCAGCAGTGACTGCTTATTTTCTGCATCTAGGCTGTTATCTTTGGATTCTGAAAGAAGTTATCCTTATTCCATCCTCTTCTGTATCTAGTTTTCTCATGTGTATCATCTGCAAACAATGGGCACTTCCACATCTAGATCAATCGTATTCACTCCTATCAATTGTGCACCTCGCTGTATCCCATCTGAATCAACTTTGTTGGTAAACTACTTTTTAGCATCCAGTATCCTAGAGATAAATGTTGGGAATGCCAAAGGCATTAATTTTAGCCTTGTAACCAGTTTCATTTCCCTCCCTGTTTCATGATGAATCAGATTTTCTTCGCATTCTTTTTGACCTGAGAAGAGTTTCAGGTTTTATGATTTCCATTCCTAAGATTGCTGATTTCCACAACAATTATGGTGCCAACATCCTGTCCTATCACTGTCCCTCTAATGCTATAGCCAATATTTTTGCATTTATCACCTTTAACCTTGACTATTCAAATGCTATTCTGACACACCAGCCATTCACCACCCTCTGTAAACTTTGTTTCAATCTAAACTGTGCAACCCTTATCCAGTCCTGTGCTAGGTCTTATTTATCTATTATCCTTGTACTTGATGCCCCATGCTGGCTCCTGGATCTGCCGGTGACTTAAATTTAAAATT